GACTGCGCAACTACAGCCTAAACTGGATTGAGCCCACGCTGCTGCGAAAAGTCATCGGGACCATCTTCTCCCTCAAAACCACCCGCTCAGTGCCCCTTTCTCCCTCGTGCCAGCACACCGGCCACGTGCCACCAGCTGGGGCGGGAAACTGGTGTAGCTAAAGGTGACCTGACCGAAAAAAAAGAAGAAAAAGAAGGGTTCCTGTCCCGCTTTCGAGCTGATCAGCTCTCCTTATCCATTCTGCCACAAAGGTGAGCGCAAGGGAAGGTCTGCGCGGCCGCTCTTGGCAGCCGAACAAAACGGCGCCGAGTCAAAGCGACCGGGACGACAAGGGAGGAAGAGGAGGAAGAAAAACGACTGAGTTAAAGCTTCCGCGTGTGGCAAGGGGACTGCTGTCAGCGGGCACAGGAGTCCTGACCCGCTCTTACACTGTGACACGCTACAACAAACGGAGGGACGCGGGTAGAAAACGAAGCCGTGACGGTTTCACGGGCAAAGGCAACGCACGGCGCTACCTGGAAAATGTCGACACGTCAGGGGAGCCAAAGGACGTTTGCTCCTACACTTTTAATAATTAACTTGTGTTTAGAAATTGCTTCAAGGTCAAATGTGCTAGTAATAAAGAGATCCATAAACGGTCTCACTCACCACGTGGGTTTTAAACTGAGGTGGAACGGGGAAGGCATCTAATAAAATGACAAGGCAAAAGGGCTGCAGGGAAAGCTGCATGGTCAGACTAGAGCCTCTCTGTACTCCCCACACCGGCTTTTTCAGGAAAAAAAAAATATATATATATACATAGATTGCTTTAGTGGCTAGGGAAGTTGTTTGCAAAGCAGGGTGGTAACATTCCTGCGTAAATACTACAGAAGCTATTTTTTTTGCCCCGACATCAAGTTCCATCACACGTTGGAGTGCCTCTTCCTGCAGTAAAGGCTACAGAAAACACAAACTAGAGGAATAGATCTAATATATTATACTAATATACTATCTATAGTATATCTAATACACTAT